TCCATTTATCAGAAAAACAATTAAAATGGATATTGGGTACATTGCCAATGGAACCTTCCACACACAGTATTCAAACAAATAGCCCAAGCCTATACCTGTTAGCCTCTTTTCCCGTCACTTACACAACAGAACTATTTCACAGCACAATAAATAATTTTTTTATCTTTCTTAGTATTTGCTCAGGTTCTTTTCTGAAATTCATTCTCTGGGCACCTACCTAAAGAAATAGTCTATCTTACATGGCATTCTACATTATTTCTTCCACGGAACTCGTGGACCCATGTCAAGTTTCACCTTTTCCAGAAAGCCTGCCCATTCCCTCCATGGGCTTTTGTTTTTTTTGTTTTTTTTGGTTTTTTTTTGAGACAGAGTCTCACTCTGTCTCCAGGATGGAATACAGTGGCGCCATCTTGGCTCACTGCAATCTCCACCTCTCGGGTTCACAAGATTCTCCTGTCTCAGCCTCCCTCCTCAGTAGCTGAGACTACAGTGGCATGCCACCACACCCAGCTAATTTTTGTATTTTTAGTGGAGACGGAGTTTCACCATATTGGCCAGATGGTCTTGACCTCTGGACCTTGTGATCTGCCATGGGCCTTTAAATGAAATCATTTACCTGTTTCTATTATTGTACCCACAGTTCTATATTTGTTATTTCTGATTATTCAATTGTTATTTGGAAAGTTCCATACATGCAGAATCTCCTTTTTATTAATTTCTTAATTTTATTTTTTTAAATAATTTTTCTATTTGTGCCTTCATTTTTCTCCGAAATTAATTAATGCACACTGCGAAACAGTACATTTTTCAAAAATATCACTCGGGGTTATTCCTAAGTCTCACAGAGTTTGAATATAAATTTCACCTTTCAGGGTGGTTTAAAGGCTTTAAAGTAACAGAGAAACCATTGTTTTATTTGCCTTAGTCACATCTTAAAACCAGCTCAGAGATTTCACTCTCCCCAAATTCCCATTGCTTTTCCTCATTGATTATTATTGTCGCTTTCACCTCTACTTCTGCACTACTTCATCTTAGGCTCAAAGGCATGGCCTTAAAAAAAATCTGAGTTCACTGGACTAAGCTAGACAGAACTAGATTAGGCCAGGCAAGGTTGAACTAGGTATAATTTTTAAAAGAGCCTTGGGTTAGTTGGGTATGGAGCTAGTTATCCCAATACCATTTAACTAGCTTAGTCCCTAGTACATAATAATATCCAATAATTTTTATTAGATGAGTGACTGAATGAATAATTGAATGAAATTATATAGAACAAGAAACAGAGCCAAGTATACAGGGAAATTTAGGATATGCCAATAGTGACATTTCAAGGCCATAGTCATGAAATTGATGAAATTACAAATAAATATTAAAGCCATTCTTATGTCAAAATTCATTTATAATCATTTAAAATGAATTAAAGGACCGATGTGGTGCCTCACACCCATAATCCTAGTGCTTTGGGAGGTCAAGGCAGGGGGATCACTTGAGGTCCAGAGATTGATGGTGCATGCCTATAGTCCTACATGCTCAGGAGGTAGAGACAGCAGGATTGCTTGGTCCCAGTAGTTTGAAGCTGCAGTGAGCTATGATCCAGTTACTGCATACCAGCCTCCATGAAAATAACACAGAACATCATTCTCAGCAAACTGACACAAGAACAGAAAATGAAACACCACATATTCTCACTCATAGGCGGGTGATGAAAAATGAGAACACATGGACACAGGGAAGGGAGTACTAAACACTGGGGTCTATTGGGGGGAAAAGGGGAGGGCTAGCCGGAGGGGGAGGTGGGGAGGGATAGCCTGGGGAGAAATGCCAAATGTGGGTGAGGGGAGAAAGAAAATAAAACACACTGCCATGTGTGTACCTATGCAATTGTCTTGCATGTTCTGCACATGTACCCCGAAACCTAAAATGCAATAAAAAATTAAATAAAAAAAAAAGAAAGTAACACAGTAAGACCCTGTCTCAAAAAAAAAATTAAAGAATTAAGGTAAAAAATAAAATTCTAAAATTAGAAGGAAAATATAAATGCATTTATATTACCTTAATACACAACCCAGTATCTGAAAGGAAAAAATTGAAAATTTTAATTATGTAAACATAAAATTTTTGATTAACCAAAATAAACAAAAAAAAACAAAAATACCAAAAATGTTTTCAAAAAATGTGCTTAAAGATTAAAAGACAAATGGAAAATGTTAGGGTGAAGGATGCAATATAGATTATGAAGATTTAATATATTCAGAGATCTTATAAAGATAAACACTAGTTCAAAAATTTTAAAAAGACATGAACGATTAACGAAATAAGAAATACAACTGTGCAATAAGAATGCAAACAACATCAGTTTTACTTGTAATGAAAAAATAGATAAAACAGTATCAGTTTATTAAACATTGACAAGATTGACCCTATCCAATTTGGGTATGTATACATAAATAAAGAGCAAAAAATCTATGTGCTGTTTGTGAGAATATAAATTTTTATGAAGTTTTTGGAAACTAAGCTGACAATAATGATTAAAGGATTTAGAAATGTTTTTCAACTTTAACCCAAATATTTCATTTCTAAGCATACATATGTGAAATATGCATGCGTGTCAATTACATATATGGGATAAATATGTAGTAGAATATTGCATAGCTACTAAAATGATATAGATCTACATTTTTATGTGTAAAAATACTCATAATGTTATGTTAAAAGTTTATAAAACTATACTCAGTAGTCAAATACTTTTTCATTATGTACAGCACTGTGCTAGGTGTCAGAGATACTGCAATAAGCTAACACACAAAAATCCTTGCCCTCATGAAGCTTATAGTCTAAAGGAGAGAAAGAAAAAAAATAAACAAAAGTATGAAGTATTTTATTAGAAAGTGTTAAGTACTACAAATAAAAATAAAAGAGAAAACAGAAATTGAAATTATTAGATTATCCCTAGAAGAACAATAAAATATGTTTAAAATGGCTATATATATGTTAGGGTCCTTTCTCCTTTATAACTTTTATATTATTTAATGTTTATAATTTGTTATATATATAGGAACCTTTCATTTCCTTATTTCATAAGGAGAAATGTGAATATAAAATACAAAAAAGTAAAATTTTCAAATGCGCTGTCACAGTTTTCCACAGAATTCAGGTTATATCAAAAGCAGCTGATTTTCTAAAAATAAGAGAAGTTTCAATAATTTTATGGGACTTAGGAAATAAATCTGGCAAAGAGTGACAGAACAGCAAATATTCCCAAACCATCCATTTTACCATGCTATTTTCTAACTGAAATTACTAATATCAATATTTCTAGTTTCTATTTATTGCAAATATCAACAATTGGTTCTATGGGAGTGGGAGGCTGGGGCAGGGAGAAGAGCCTTAATTTATATTATTTCCTGATTTCCATAGTATAAACAGTCTCATCATCCCCAGTTCCATGAAGATAGGAAGAGCTGTGCACAATAGAGTCCTGTGAACCAATTCAAACCAGCTCCATGATCCTATTGATCCATCCCCTTCATATTCTGTCCACTTCACATGTCTACTACATTTTCACAGTTTTTTTTGCCTACTCTACTCCTGCACTATTCCTATTCTACTTCACATTCTACTATGGCTCACGGGAATGCTCTGCCCAAGCTAGGTCAGAACACTCCTTACGTGCCGACCTTACGCCCTGTGTTCATGCTGTTTCCCTCATTGGGATTACCAGCCAACCTCCTGTCTATTTATATAATACCTACAGTTCCACATATTACTATAGTTCTAAGCTCCATTGAAACTAACCTTACACCACATAATACAGTTTTTTGGGACTCTCCATTTCTCAGTAATGTATCTTTTTTCAGAACTCCTTCAACTTATATTTTGGAAGCATTTATGTCAGGCACTGGGTTCAGAGTCTACATACAACAAACCAAACAACCACAGACCACGCTCTCATAAAACATACTTTTGAGACATTAATTAAGTAATCATGAAAATGTATGAGAAACAGACAAATGTTAAAAAGAATGCTAAGAGAACACAAGAGATGACTTGATTTCTTCTGTGAAACCATATCTTCTGCCGCTGTGTGGTCTTTACCTTATTTCTGACAGTGCATTATGTTCCTCAATTTCACAGTACCCATAAGTGACATCTACAATAACTTTGCCTTGACTCAGCATTACCTCTACATTTAGTATGTTCTCAGACACAATGTTGGTGCTTAAAAAGAACATCTTGATTAAATTACACCTGTCAGAGCAACTGACAACACTATTAGGATGACAACAGAGACCAAGGATCTAAGACGATGTCCAGAGAAGAAAGCAGGCAAAAACAGGCTGACCAAGGGTTCTGGCCAGACCACGGACTAGGACTGAAGCAGAGAAGACTGTGTAGAGCTTCCCGTAGAGCCAGCAAGAAGAGGTTAATCAAAGACTGAAGGACACTGAGAGCAGCTGATAGAAGATCAAATTAAAGAAGGTCTCTACTTTCATACAACTTGCTTTCCAAATTCAGGAGCCTAAAGCAATCACTTTGATTTTCTTTCACAAAACAAGCATCCCCTCAAAATGGAATATTAACAAACTCACTTCACTCCATTAATGATAATGAAACAAAGGATTAGGAGCAATAGCAGGGTTTTAAACAATCAATAGGTGACTTCATATGCAGAAGTGTCTTTTCTGGAAATATCTATTGATTGGCCAAAGCAAGCCTTCTGACCTCTCCGACTCTCAGTCTCATCCTTAATGTCTGTTATGGTTTGATTTGGGAGAAATGAATGGTAGAAGTATTTGAAAAAAAAATTGTTAGTAAAACAACAAGAATAAAAAACTCTTGATATCTTAGTTACAAAAGAGAACCCCCAAAATCAGTGTGAAACATTGAGCTTCTCTTCTTACGCCATGTTTTTAGAAATACATAACATTAAAGTTGAGCTCATATGTAATATTTTCTTCCTACCTTGCAAATATCACTAAGACATTTTTATGTTTGGCAGTCCATGGGCGGCTGGAGTCCGGGAGTACAGTGAACGGGCTGTAGTCTAGCATAAAGGCGGAACCCAGAAGAAGGGGCGTGGCGTGGTAGAAGCCTCCCCGCCTGCCCCCGCAATGCGGCACCCACTAGTCCTGCCGCTGCTCCTCTCTGCCCTGGTGACCCCCTCCGCTGCAGCACCTATCCACGATGCTGATGCCCAAGAGAGCTCCTTTGGTCTTACAGGCCTCCGAAGCCTGCTCCAAGTCTTTAGCTGACTTTTCCTGAAACAGCAGGATGATCTGCTTTGGGGCATGGACAGCTTCTTCTCTGCCCTCATGGACTTCTGGGGCCTCCCTAGGAACTACCACCAAGAGGGGAACCAGGAGCACCAGCTGGGAAACAACACCATCTCCAGCCACCTCCAGATCGACAAGGTGACAGACAACAAGACAGGAGAGGTGCTGATCTCTGAGAAGGTGGTGGCATCCATCCAACTAGCAGAGGGGAGCTTCAAGGGTGACAGGAAGGTACCCAGGATGGAGGAGAAGGAGGCCCTGGTGCCAATCTGAAAGGCCATGAACAGCTTCCACACAGAACTCTGTCCCCAGGTGGCCTTCTGGATCATGAAGCTGCCATGGCAGAGGTCCCACCAGGATGTCCCAGAGGGTGGCCACTGGCTCAGCGAGAAGTGACACCGCCTGCAGGCCATCCGAGATGGGCTCCATGAGGGGACCCGTGAGGACGTCTTAGAAGAGAGGACCCAGGGCTTCTCCCACTCCAGGCTGTTCCCCCAAAAGACCCACTTACCCTACATCTTTAGGCCCTCCCAGCAGCTGTAGGGGTGGGGACCAGGGAGCACCTCCCTGTAGCCCCCATTAGATCCCACTGCAAGCACCATATGGAAATAAAAGTTCTTACTTACATCTAAAAAAAAAAAAAGACATTCCTAAAGAAAAATTATGTTAGCCTTAAGATAATCTAAGGCCACTATTCTTTATGGGTACACCACATTGAGGAACATGAGGTATTTAATGTCAGACTTTCAGATTATTCTGACTAACTCACCACTTTGCCCTTCATCTCTTCAAAACAACTATTTTGAGAACCTCTGATCCACAGCCAACAACATTCAAACGAAACTGTGGCTACATTGTCTAAATATCATCCTTCCACAATGCTCATATCAGCAAGCTACTTTAAACTACCACAACAATACAAATAATTTTGTACATTTTATGGTAAAAGTACAAAAGTTATAGTACCTTTTTTTAGTAACTCATCTTCTCTGGGGGAAGAAAAGCAATTTCTGCTACCAAAGAAAAAATTTGCTACCTGTATAAAGTATATAAAGCATTAATAACTTTGTAATGAAGTAAATATCTTCGATGTCTTTGATCTTTTTAATCTCACAGAAAACGAAACCAAATTTCAAGATCTATCATCATTTTCATACCAAATCAAACTTTTATTTATTAAAAAAATTGCTGAACATGAGTAGTGCCCTCAAGTGATTACAGTATTTTAACATGTGCCCTATACCCTTTCTTATCTTTTATTTATACACAGAAGAAATGTTTGGATTTCTGATACCAACATCTCAGCAGCAAACATCCTTCCCTTAATGAGCTCTTTCTGCTTTTTTTCAATATTTTAATCCTTAGTTATCAAAACTGTCAAATTTCCTGAGTTCTTTTAACACTTTTTGTGATACATTCAAGTTAAGATAAAAACCCACCCGCACTTAACACAAAATCTCTTGTCTCTCTGAATGAACGTCAATACATATATATATCCAATACAGCACAAATTTCATTGCTGAGTCTGAAAGGTTTAACTTCTATGAATCTATCTTAATTTGTTTCTGTTTTAGTTTATAGCAGTGGCTCTCAAATATTAATATATATATAAAATTACCTGTAAACCTTGTTAAAACACAGATAAGTGGGCCTCAACCTTAGAGTTTCTTATTGAGCACACATAGAGTAAAGCCCAAGATTTGCTTTCTAACAAGTTTCCAGATGATGCTGATGTTTCAGCTTGGGGCATCATGTTTTGGATCATAAAACTTACTAAGTCTTACAAACTTAGATAAGTACAGAATTCCATTCTAGGGTTACCTCTAATAGCTGCATTTGGTCAAATGACTCTTAGGATAAGTTCACAATAATAATCAAAATTCCAATCTGAGGATTAATTTTCATCTATTTTTTTCAGTCTTATTTGTACAGCCTGCAGGAATATTAAAAAATATTCAGCCCTATCATAAACACAGACACATCAAAGAACTTAATATTTCAATAAAAGAGGAATCATTGTGTGCACAGTTTGTTGGTCAAAGGTTAACAGCCAGAAGGCAGCATTATCACCTTTTTGCAGTAAAGAAATATAGGTGCTAATAGCTTAAGGGACTTACCTGATGTCATTTAAAAATTTTCAAGTGGTATTTAGAAGAGGATCTGATCAGCATTTTTAGTTCCTTATTTGTGGTAATAATCAAAAGGTAATGCTGTCTGTTTCTGGATGACAGAAGCAAAAATTTTATTTCTTATTTTCATACTTAAAAGGTGCTGTTTTAGAAATACTCTGTAAATTCTGAATGTTGATAATTTTATCTAACCCAGAAAGGGAAAATATTTATGCTTGCCACAGATATCATCCCCAATGGATAACAAAACGCGGTTGTGATAAAGTACTTGCTTGTACGAAACCTACAAATACACAAGGGCTTTCGATACATAAAATAAAGGGAACAAATGAATCTTCAAAGAGTGTTAGCCAAGCACCAACCTGGGGACCTAAATGCCTCATCTCTCACTCCCAACTTTTCTTCTGATGAGCTTTTAAGGAAGTCAGACCATCTCCCTGGACATAAGAACACTCATCTGTAAAAGAAGAAATATTGGAATAGAAGAGCTCTAAATTCACTTAAGCGATAAAGATGATCATATAGCAGTCAAGCAAAAATTTATCTCTTTTGCTTTTTATCAATTTTCTCATTTAGCTGAAGATAGCAATTAATCGCAGCTAAAGAGTAAATTTTTAAACGTATATTAATCTGGCCAGATAAGGATACTTAAAAACAGAGATTCACTTCTGCAGCAAAATGACTGATCCCGAAGTGAATCTTACAGTTAAAAATAAACAAGTAAATAAATGCATGCTGTTGAAATTACTGCACACTATAAGAATGATAGAGAACAAATGTATAATAAATGTTAAAACCCTACATGAGTTGCTATTATCATTGTTTGTTAACATTCATGGGCAAGTTTTTTTTCTCTAATAAACCATTAGGCTCTATTTTTAAATATTGCCTTACCTTTCATAGCTATCTCTCTCTTGCTCTTTCTCCCATACACATGCACAGAGCTTTCTATTTTTTTTTCATTAAGTCAGTTTCAAAATAAATGAAAAAAAGGTTTAAACTAAAATTACAGTCAGGGTCTGATTGCACCCCTGGAAAAAAATCAAAACGGGAAATTTAGGTCTCTGGGTAAACTTCGATAAAAGATACTCAGTAGGAGCCAAATAGCTCAAATATTTCTTAAGAATATAACATTGCCATTATATAAATAGATAATATTATCTCAGAAAAAATGTATTTCAAATAATGTTTCATAAAAACATTACATTGCTCTATCATTTGAATAGATAAATTAACATTCCATTTAATTTTTACTTTCGAAGTAGCATATCTATTTTGAACTCTAAGGCCAGAAATAATCACTAATGTTTCTCATTTTAAAAAGGTTTTTCAAATCTAAATATTAGTCAAAGACCTTGTTATTATGCAGTATGAAAATATGCAAAATAAATGTCTTTAAAATACTCATCAACCTCCACTGATTTCTACCACTCAGATGCCTGTTGGCCAACATCATTATACGAACAGAAGCAGTAAACCTGGATTAGAGAATTCTGCCTACTATTATGACTAGAGAAAAATTCAACTCACCATCCTAGAAAATTCCTCTCTACTTAACATTCTATTTGCTATTGTAAACATTTTTACTCTAAAAAGGAGTTTAGATTTTATGAAAACCTAAAACATTCTTGAGAGCAGTTAACTGTTCATCTTGATTGGACATTTCAAACAAACCAGACATGTTGACAACCTGAAGGTCACTTTTGTGGTTATCACCCATTTTAAAAATTGGGGGGAGGGATAAATAAAGAAGAGCATTGATGAGAAAGGTTGCATGATTCTTAGTGCATTAAGATCAAAATACAATACTGATTTCCTTTTATAGGTGAATGACAGATATTCCATAAATTATTTATATAATCATATATTTTCACCATTCCTTTTATAGATTACATATTTAGCAATTATCATGTTGTGGGGGGCAAAACAAATTTCTGCCTTTTTTTCCCCCATTTTTTCTAAATGAACGAAGCTACTGCCACAGGTTTATCTCTTTCTCGGGCCAATCATTATGCTGAGGAGTGTGCTCTCGCCAGTAGAGGACGTCATTGGTGGCGGCTCTACTTGTTACCTTCCCTAGAGAACACAAAACATGCCCCAGTGTTCCCACAGTTCATTATGGAACTACCTATGTCTTTCATAAACTGTGCAGTCACTTGAGAATCTATTTATGCTGGCAACTAATCACAAGTAAAAGGTGATGAAATATGACACTATTAAAATTCAGCTGTTTGAAGATGATTCACTGATGAAAAAATACCAAAAATTAATATAAAAACTTTATGCTGACTTTTTGTAAAGTATAATCCCAATTATATCCCCAAAATACCTAGAATAGAAGGAAATATATTAAAATGCTGTATGCAGCTTCCTTTATTTATTGATTATTATAGATTTTAAGATTTTTCTTTCACTTTGCTTCTAATACTTTTTAATTAAAAAAAAACACCATATACAGTAAGTGTGTTTTAAACATTATTATTAAAGAAAAAGAGAGAGCTCTGAATGGACCAGAGAAAGCAAAGAACCAAATACAGAATTTGTACCTGGCATGACCTTTTAAAAATCAGCAGAAATTCTGAACACTCAAGGAGTAAGTGTGTTTCAGAGGAAATGAGTTTACAAACTGAGAATCATCAAGAAATGGACACAAGTATAAGGCAGAGGAAGAAGATGAAGCAGACAAGTTGATACTTCCAAAAATATTCACGATGTTTTAGATATTTAAATTTATGCTAACAATTTAAGTATTAATGTGAATTTAAATATAATCATACTAGACACAAAGTGAATAGTTAATATTAAGATTTTATGTTAAGCTACTACTTGAAAGAAGAGACTATCAAAACCGCTATTTAATAATAGTATTTTTAAAAACTTTTCGAGCCTAACAGCTTTTACTTTCCTTTGCTTTTCAATTTCTCCCAAAGTTACAAAATTATATTAAAAGCCTCTTAATTACTGATCTCCTTTAGTCTGCATATCTGCTAATGAATGGTATAGAAGACAAAAAAACCTTTTTATCAGGCAAATAATCATCTGTGTAGAGTATATTTATTCATTGTTAGTAATTCCGGCCTTTTAAAGGTAGAATTCACTAAAGTTTTGTGAAATGTTCTGATATGCAGTTCTCCCTAGTGACTAGAGAAAGATATTTATATGAAATATAAGCTACCACAACCACTTATGAAGATGGCAAACCTATATTCCTAGCTCTATGCAAAGAATTTAAAAGAAAAAATCCATTTGATTAAAATTCATCTTAAGTTTGTCTGAAATTCATGGATTCAAGTATATTCTAACATCTCTTCCAAAGGGGGAGGAATAGTGAACATTAACAAAATAAATGGTGTAGGTTATTACGAACAACAATTTCAAAAAGATATATCCATGAAGATATTCTAAAGACAGATATCTATGAGGTTTTTAAAGAATATTAGAATTCATAAATCAATTCAGCCAAGTTTTATTATTAAAATTTTATAAACTAAATATTCAAAGTACTTCACAATCAGACCTCACTAGTTTATAGCTTTATTTCCTGTCACCTATCATTCTAGAAAGTGGAGTAAGAAAGTTTCTACAAAATTAAAATCTAAAGACTTTAGGATTCTTGCATAATGACCCCATAAATGGAAAAGTAAAACTATGAACAATCATATTCGTGCTTAGGAAACTGAGCTTTTAGAAGTAACAGTAACAACAGTGGTGTTCCGGAAGAAGGCTGTAATGCTATACCAGTGTTACACTTACTTAAGTTTAAACATGTGCCCATGATATTTCTCAAAAAAGCCTTAGACACAAGTGCAAAGACTCCACAAAGAAAACAAAATTTCCAGTTTCAAATCAGAATTCATATAATAATAAGAGCATAGGTGTAACTAAATTTGTAATTCTGATTCCAAATTTGCTACTTGCCTGAAAACTTCTTGAGGGTAAAAACTATATCTGTCTCAATTATCATTCCACTGTAGCTATAAGCACAGCACTCGATAACTATGCCCTAAGTAAATCCATTCAATTTAAGTGAATTCACATTGACAAAATATCTACTCTGTGATAAGCAATGGTGATACAAAAATAAAAAATATGTGTCTGAGCCCACTTGTAGTTGTTTTGGCCTTGGTTTCAACATCTTTAAAAAAAATACTGGACCAAATAATTTCTCAAGTTCTTTCCTACCCAATATTCTAAAATTTTATTACCTTAAATATTAATTATACTTCTTTTAAAAATATTCAGAGCAAGATTATCAGTTCTAAGTTGTCTGTGAAATGGTAAGGCACAGTGGTTGTAAAGGTTAGTGGTCAGAAAGCATGGAAATTGAGGTCAGTCTTTTTTTTTTTTTTTTTTGAGATAGTGTCACTCTTGTTGCCCAGGCGGGAGTGCAATGGTGTGATCTCAGCTCACTGCAATCTCCACCTCCTGGGCTCATGCAATTCTCCTGCCTTAGCCTCCTGAGTAGCTAGGATTACAGGCACCTGCCAGCATGCCCGGCTAATTTTTGTATTTTCAGTAGAGACAGGGTTTCACCATGTTGGCCACGCTGGTCTCAAACTCCTGACCTCAGGTTATCTACCTGCCGTGGCCTCCCAAAATGCTGGGATTCAGTCATGGGCCAGCAGGCCTGGCCGGTCAGTGTTGAATCTAATAAATAGAGAGAAACCACAGTAATTTGAACACAGGTAGTTTAGTATAACAAATGTTTGCCTATAGCAAGGGATCAGAATAAGGACAGATTGACTAGTAAGAAGTAAATATAAAAACTATATCAATAGCAAATATAAGAAGCAGTCACTACCTCTAGGGCTTGGATCCAGGCCTTATAGGAGAGGGTGTAGCCATACTTGTTGAATGATGGACAATTTGCTGAGGTGCCTAACTTGCAGAACTTGCAGGGATCTTGCTATAGAGTTCTGTGGAAGCTGTTCACTAAGGGGTGCCTCTCACTACAAAACAACCCTGGTGTAAGTTTCTGGCCACTGGGTGTGGTTGCCTCACATACACTGAAGGTACTAGATGCTGGGGAAGCTGCCCCCCATGCAGGAGCCAAGCAATGAAGAAACTATTCATGCTGTGAGAGAACCTACTGAACAAGCACTGCAAAATCAGAAAGCAAAGTTTTTTCCTCCCACATTGCCTCTCCACCACTCAGTACTGACAAAGTTTAACATTATACCAGTTGGCAAAGGGCCAAGATCTGTTTTCACAGAGCAGGTAAAAAGGATGAATTTGGGACTGAGAAGCAATAAACAGATAAGGAGTACTACCTACTCCTTTGATTCAGTTTCCATATGCTCCCTGCTACTCACACTCTGACTCCCATACAACAACAGAACAACTTTATTTGCTACTAACACTGTACAGCGATCCTTCTTAAAAGAGAAGGTTTTATTCTTCTCTCAACATGAGGAACAGCTCAACATGGTCATTCTATCCATCCCAGGCTGCATTAATTGCTTCTCAAATTCAGTAGCAGTACCACTGATTACTCTGACCTAAAGACTAAATTGTAAATTGTACTACCAATATCATCTATATAATATGCAAAAGTGAGAAATGAAAAGCAATAGTTAAGAAACATGTGTTTAAATGAACAGAGATATCTAACACATATGTACAGATAAATATATATATGTATTCAAATAAAAATATGCAAATCTTCTATAGTTCTCATTTCTGTATTTGGTCATAGGGTTTTAATTAATATATTTGGCCTCTTCTGTCATTAGAGACCAAATACGTTTGGGTATTACCTCTACCATCTGCCAAAACCTTAGCCAGGTGAGGTTTGAGTGACCTAACCCTTCACTGACAAAGAATCGGAGTCCTCAATTGTTCCAGTTTTCACGTTTGGTAAGTTGGTTGAACCCTCTAAATTGTTACAACCTCAGTTATAAAATAGCAAAAAAAGGTAGTTACTTTTTACCTGTACTCTTTGTGATAAATATTAAAGGAGTTAAAGCATGATGAACTCCTAGTACCTAGTAGATATTTTTAAGCTTGTCTGTATGTTATCTACATCAATGCTTCCTCTCCTAATAAAGGTAGCAGAGATAGGTTAGAAGACTTACGTATTAAGTAATATTTTTCTTTTGACTTCCAAAATAATTTTCAAAGTAAGCTGTTCGAGACGCCCATATTATAGTCCCTATGTTTGGATCTTATTTGAAAGACTGGAGAATACATTCTACATGTCTTAAAGTTGGAATCTTTCTTCTTTCTTTGTACATTTCTGTAGTGTTTACTACTATCAGTATGCACGAATTTGCCCTAGTCCCACGTCTGTAAATTTCTAGTTTATTACCTAGAACAAATCACTTTACCTTTCTGTAGCTCTTTTCTCATTTACAAAATAAAGAAATTTTCTTTCAATTATAGTATGATGTTATTCCTCTTTCCAGGTAGACTTTGCATATGGTAAGCAACTACATCTTTTGTTTAGGTAAAGAACGCAATATTCAGACAAAAGCAATAGCAATTCGAAGGCCATCATTTGCCAAATACATTACTTTGTGTGAGTTACTTAACGTTGGGGCGTCAGTTTCCTCATCTGTAAAGTGGAAAAAAATAAGACTTTATGAACATTAATAAGCAACAGGAACTCGACAAATTCTAGCTGTATTATTTCAATCAAATACATGTCTGCATTAATTCTAAGTCATAGCATGACTTTGTTATGATCCAGAAAGAAACAGAGAGAAAGAAAAGGAAGGAAGAGGGAGAGGAAGGAAGGAAGAAGAGTTTTCAATTAAATCATGGTCTGTCATCATTGCAGATGCTTTCCAATTTCAAAGGTGGTGGTATGTAAGAAGAAAAGGTATTTCTAAATCAGTGAAATAAGATATTACCATTATTGTTATTCTATGAATGTATACCACCACTCCAGCTGATAAGACACAGCAACCATTTTTCATCTCAATTCCAGTAAATAAAATATTAAATCTATATTACAAAATGTGGAAATGAAAGAGCAGGGACCATGCGTCCTTTATGGAAGGGCAGGGTCAAGATATTTTTAAATAAATTAATTATAGAGTGCCTACTGTGTGAGAGATAGGATGTTAGACATTGGAGATATAAAAGTGACTAAAAGAACCAAAATCCATATTCATATTAGAGTACACAGCCCAGAAGAGAAGATAAACATTAATATAATTTGGTAAGGATAATAAGTAAAGAGAAGTATTTGACAAATGAACAAACGGGAATATTATATTTTGTTGTTTTCTTAAAATATAACATGGAAAAGAACATTTTAAAGTACCTACGCTACATCATTTTACATGTATGGAATGCAAACAAAGCACTTTAAGAAGAATCAATGTGAAGCAAATGATTCAGTGATCAGAGGCAAGGGGCCTCTAGGATTAGAGTAAGAAACCCAGATCATTTTAAGGAAAGAAAGAGTGAAAATATCCTTCTCCTAAGCCTGGTTAATTTATGAAGCTTCTGTCTTCAAGAATCTAAAGTTTTGATTCCTTAATTAGATTAAAAAATGCATAAAGAAAAAAATAGATTTGCTAGTCCAAAACAAAAAAGAGCAGAAGGTGAAGTTGTGGAACAAGTTGCCAACATGGAAACAAAAATGACACACTTCAAGATTTTACTGTCATCTCACTCAGGAACAAGCAGATATCCTCTAACTTTCGGGGAGAAAAATATCTTTTTCTCACCTGTCCTAGGTTCATGGCTGAGGTTTCTCTAACAAAAAACAAATTAACAGAAGAAAAGCATAAATATGTATTTAATGTGAGTTTTACACGACACAAGAGCCATTATAAAGAAATGAGGACCCAAAGAAATGTGTAAATCTGTGTATTTTTTATGCTAAGTTTGATGAATTACAGAGTCACAGAGAAGGATGACTGGATATAAAAATAGGATCTAATGGTAATAGATTGGAGAAAACATAGCAAGATCTCTTTGTTCAGATTCTCATGTGTCCCTGTGTCATCAGGGATAAGGATGTTCTTTTCCTCCAGGTATAGGGAGGTCACCTCTAGAATGACCTCCTTCAGGGGAAGGTCAGAAAATCTTTCCTAGGTTGTACAACCTGCTTCTGGGGAGAAGGGCAGAGGGAAAGTGAGAATGATGCTCCTGCTTCTGCTGTTTTCTGCAATGCCAAGGTATCATATTTTGGGGTACTGTGTCCTGAACTCCAACACCAGATAACAGTGGTTATGGTAATACTGGCCTAGCAAAAGGGCCAGAGGCAATTAGCAATCAATTATTTACTTAAAACCATACTTTATACATGTTTATGAGGGGAAAATTATGTATATTTTTTCTTCTACCTTTAGAAATTATTTCCCTTTAGTTTCAAATGTATTATAAATAGGCATTTTGCTTGGTGTTTTTAACAAGAAAGCAAGTACTAAAAAAAATTAATGACAAATATACAAAAGAGACTTTTATGCATAATTTTGCCAAATCTTTTTCTCTTCAGAAGCATCATAGGTACTGTATCATAGTGTAAAACTGTACCGACTACTACAAAAATAAATTCTCCTTCCAATGAATCCATCTGATATTTCTACATGTCTCCAAATGCTTTCCATATGTTTCAAATTATATGAATATTAGAAATCAAATACATAATATATTCTGCCTTCTGGACCCATTTACATGAACTTCTTAAAGAGGCACTGAGTTAGCTATGAAGTTCTGGATTTCGCCTCTGACCCTGTGACAACATGTCATCTTACCGTGGAAAGAGAGTTACAAGTAAGGCATGGGAGAAAAGATAATAACAACAAATTTCTAATACTAAGTGAAAAACAAGAAGAAAAGCAGAAAGATACAATTCTAGAATAAGCCAGTCCTAATAAAGGTCAATCTATGAAGAGGAGACATATGAACAAAAGACCTAGGGAGAGTTTACAGAACTCAGAATTTCCATTTCTACTATAGGCTTTAAGATCAAACCTGTCCCCAGAGGATTCTTTAGCACCTTATTTTTACTTATGAAAGATATGGACTTAGAATTCTCTGGTTAAGCATTATGAATTTAACTCATGTATTTATGTTTGCTCCATCCTAAACACCAAAAATTGTGGCAATGAAAATAAAAGACTAGACTCACAAAGTTGAAGAAAGCTAGAGCAATGCAGAGTAGAGACATTAACTACATTTCAGAAACTGGAAGGCAAGCAAGCAGTTATTATTGTTTTAGGAGACCTGTATAGAGAAAGGGTACATGTGAGAAGAAGGAGGGGTTCACAATGAATCCAGCAGAATCACACCACAGGAGCCTGAGGAATTGGAAGGATCAGTTACTTCAATGACGATGCAAGGAAAAGCAGAAAGCAAACTAAGTGGCTGAGAGTCTTTACAAAAGCTACTATATCCTCTTCCCACATCCCAATCAGCCAAGCAACTATCTCTCTTCCTGCTTGTGCTAAAGGCCGAAGACTTCGTCTCTGGAAAGCTTGAACAATAAAGAAACTCATCTAAAACTATAAAGCACAGAGAAGAGTTATGTAAGGTACTAAAAATGGGGTTTAAATAAAAACATTTACTGAATACTGAACCCACCAGCATTTCCCATCTTGGTGCTTAGACTACTAGCATCAAGGTCTGTATTCCCCAAGCAAAGATTGAAGAAAAAATCAGATTTTAAAAAATCCTGGCCAGGCGCAGTGGCTCACACACCTGTAAAATCCCAGCACAGTGGGAGGCTGAAGCAGGAGTTCCATACTAGCCTCAGCAACATAGTGAAACCCTGTCTCTACTAAAAACACAGTAAATTGGCCAAGTGTGGAGCCGCACACCTGTGATCCCAGCTACTCAATAAGCCAAGGTAGGAGGATGGCTTGAGCCTGGAAGTCGAGGATGCAGTGAGCCCTGATTGTGCCACAGCACTCCAGCCTAAATGACAGAGTGAGACCCTGGCTGAAAAAACAGAAACAAACAACAAACAGAAATCCTACTGATACTGACAATAGGGGATCATCTCAAACACAACAAAAAGCTGGAGTTCTCCCATGGGTAAAACTCAGCATGAAACCTGCCCCACCCCAGGACACAACAGCTTCAGTAAGCTCTCTTCAGTGCCTCTCTCTTAATATAAATGGGGGCCAATAATCACTAGAGTGTTGTGGAAAATCTATAATATAAAATGTGCAATTAAAATGGGGGAAAAAGGCAATTTTAAGAGCAAAAAATTTTTTTAAACTTATTTTGTGGTCTTAAAGAAATGAGAGAAACATTCATTATACCTGTGGCTACAAATCAGAATGCTATTTTTTATAAAAGTATTATTTCAAATAACAACAACAACAACACACACACAATCTTAGAAAATTAAAATAAAATAGCAAACACTAAAGCTAATAGACATATTGAAAAATAAAATTCTGGGATATCTTTCAGAAAATAAAACTAAAACAAAACAAAAAAATAGGACAGAAAATATATGAAAGAAAAGAAATGTATTGATTTGGAGAGTTCAACATTTACATAATATGAACTCCAGATATAAAGAAAGCAGAAAAAAAATGGGAAGGGAAGCATTATCAAGAATAAAATATAAGAAATTCCCCAGATTTAACTGAAGGACATGGATTTCCACATTGAATCAGAGTATAAGTCATCCAATAGAAATGAGTGGAGAAACAAAATAAAACAAAACAAAACCCAGACCAACGTTCACCACTGCAAAATTTTATCAACTGAATGATAAAAAATGACCCTGAAAATTTTCAAAAGAAGAGAGAAAAAAAAACTTCATGCAAGAACTTAGGTAGCACTGGCCTTTTCAACAGCAATACAGAGTGCAATGAAACAAATGTAGAAATGTTTTAAGTTTTGAGGCATGATTTGCTACCAACTTTGTGTCTAAACTACTTACCAACATTGAGAGAAGAAATAGAAATTTCTGACATGAATGCTGTCAAATTTTCTCTCTCCATATACTTACAGGAAACTGCTGGGAGTAAGTAAGGAAAGTGAAATACAATCTTTCAGCTCTCTATCAATCAGTTGCCAGTTTCAAGCAACAAAAGGGGATTCATATTATATGATTATCTAAATGGAGTTATCTGGAAGATAATTTATAGAATAGTTGGAAGCGTTAGAAAAGCCATACCACAGCACTGTCACCAAAGAGATGTGATATTTTACACCCCATCCATTTCTACGAAAGGAACCCCACCTTAAAAATACTGCTATTTCTGCTACTACCAAAGAGCATCCCCATCCGTTCCTTTGAGCAGCCTGAGCTGAGTCAAAGTCCACCATGAGCACATTTGACTGAGCCATCCTGGCTGACACATTTGTATTTTGGACGAAAAGAAGCCTGGGAAAATGAACTGTGCTGTGTTGTTCTTTGCCTTCCTGAAGTATCCCTAAAAGTAGAGATTTCCATAATCATAGAAAAGGCTTTCAGATGCTGGGTATACAAACAAATAACAAATATCCTTTTAAAAATCATATCCACGAAGCAGCATATCCAGCCTAGGAGATAGATGAAGATAAACTCCTGGAGAACAGCAAGAGAATTGTGAAAACGATGCACGTGCAACAAGCTTGTAGAACAACTGGGCAAGACTG